AGGCGGCGCGCTGTCCCCCGAGGAGGAGCTGAAAGCCACGGTGCTGCAGCTGCGGGAGACCGTCCTGCAGCAGAAGGAGACCATCGGGAGCCAGCGGGAGGCCATCCGGGAGCTCACCGGCAAGCTGAGCCGCTGCGAGAGCGCCGACGGCAAGTCCGACACGGGGACGTGGAAAAAAGAGCTGGGCAGGGGCAAGGACACCATGGGCGACCTGCCGCGGGACCCGGCGCAGGTCATCGACCAGCTGAGCCGCACCATGCAGACCCTGAAGGACCGGCTGGAGAGCCTGGAGGTAGGGCCAGGGCGCGGGGTGGGCCAGCCTCCCAGCCCCCCCAGGTAGAAACTTGGAACGACTTAACCTATAACAGTGGCTTTGGACCGCTGGGTGGACACAACAGCGCGCCTAATCTTTACGGAGATAAATCCAAACTGGACAAGCCCTGGGAGTGAGTGGCTCAGTTGGCTTGTCTTGTTTTCTTGATTATTTATCTGCTCGCTTTAATGGTAAAAAACCTGAAGGGCTCCTCTGTGAATGTATTCTCCCAGTGCGTGGGGGGAGATTATGGTTTTCCTGCTTGTCACCAGATTAGTTTCTGTATTAATATGTCTAAATCTCTTTTTCTGGGAATGTGACTTCATGGGGGTTGAGATATAAAGCTGACGTCTTGGGCAGTAAGACCTTGGCATATGATGCTGAACAGATCAGTGGTAATGAGGAGATTGTGTTGGGCAGATTGTGAAGACAACATGATGTATTTAGAGCTGACATAGAATAAAAAGAACCTGATTCTGTATGCCTGTGAATAGAAAGGGGATTTGGTCCAAGCCCACCGATAAGTGATTTCCATGAGCCTTCGGACAGTGCCCGTGGTTGAGTGGCACGCATGGAAATATTTTATAGAGAGTATTCCCACAGGAATCGTGCTGGATGTTGTGTTTTGCTTTCCACACCCTGAGAGCTACATGCGTGTCCTCCTGCTGTCCTCCAAACAGTCAGTGATGTTGTGAGGATGGCGAGTAGCTTTCTAAAGGTTATTCTGTGAGGTCTAAACACTCTGGACTGCTTTTCAAGTACAGTTTTGAATGATCTGGTAGCGTAACATCCTTTTACTACTGTTGCTGTCTTTTTGAGGCTTTTTTTTTAGGGTTGTAGAAGGGAAACTCCACTAGAATAATATGGTAGGTGGAACCGTTGGTTTCTTAGTATCCTTAAAGATACCAGTGTTATTTGAGAGAGTGTGTGTGTGTGTGTTTTGCCATTTAAAGAAAAATACTTTCACTGGCTAATACTTACAGCTGATCTAAAGAGCATCTGACTTCTTTACTCTGCAAATCAAAACTGAGGAAACTTTCATTTGGTAAATTTGCTTTCGAAGTAGCTTAATTTTTTATTTAAAAAGAAGTAATAGTTTTTCTGTTTACTTAAGTTGGCAATGTCACTTGCAGTAGGTAAAGCAAAAATTGACTAATGTGCCACATGTATCCATACTAATGGAAGTGCATCAGACCTGGCTTCCTACATTGATTTTATTGAACTTAAATGTATGAAGACTCCTTCATATGAAATGCTGGAAGCCTCTAACAAAATTGCCCTTTTGTGTCAGGACCTGTTTTGCTACAGTGCTGATAAAAGAACTGAACATGACAAGTACTGAAAAGCAATGCCTCTTTTGTATTGTTGTGGTTTAACCCCAGCTGGCAGCTAAGCCCTACCCAACTGCTCGCTCACTCCTCCCCGTTGGGATGGGGGAGAGAATCGCAAGGGTAAAAGCGAGAAAACTTGTGGGTTGAGATAAAAACAGTTTAATAAGTAAAGCAAAAGCTGCGTATGCAAGCAAAGCAAAACAAGGAATTCATTCACTGCTTCCCATCGGCAGGCAGGTGTTCAGCCATCGCCAGGAAAGCAGGGCTCCATCATGCGTAATGGTTACTCGGGAAGACAAACGCCATCACTCCGAATGTCCCCCCCTTCCTCCTCCTTCCCCCAGCTTTATATGCTGAGCATGATGCCATATGGTGTGGGATATCCCTGTGGTCAGTTGGGGTCAGCTGTCCTGGCTGTGTCCCCTCCCAACTTCTTGTGCACCCCCAGCACTCGCTGGTGGGGTGGGGTGAGAAGCAGAAAAGGCCTTGACTCTGTGTCAGCACTGCTCAGCAGTAACGAAAACATCCCTGTGTTGTCAACACTGTTTTCAGCACAAATCTAAAACACAGCCCCTTACTGGCTACTGTGAAGAAAATTAACTCTTCCCCAGCCAAAACCAGCACATGTACTTGCTGGAGAACTCAGTGATCTTGCTTTCTTCCCTTTGAATTAGGAGCATATCCACATTTCACAGTTTCTGTTTTAGAAATGATAATTTTTTTTTCCTTCTCATTTCCCCTAAAGCACCAGCTCCGAGCCAACGTGTCATATGCAGCACTGCCTAATGACCTTCGAGAGATGCTTCAACGGAGGCTTGGAGACCTGGAACGCCAACTCCTGAGCAAAGTGGCTGAGCTTGAGGATGAAAAGTCTTTGCTTCATAATGAGACGTCAGCCCATCGGCACAGGACAGAGACAGCCTTGAATGCATTGCTAGAAAGAGTGTCTGAATTAGAAAAAGGTAATCTGCATAGAATCTAAATGCTTCCCTATGCTGATTAATTTTTTTTACTCCGTCCTTCTAGTGCAGTAGACTAAATGTAGGCCTTGAGGGAAAGACAGTTAAGGTGCTGGACTAAATAGTAGGTGACAGTACAAATACTTGGATTCTCTTTTTCCTTGTCACAGGCTTCCTGCTTGACAGGCCTCTGCATGGCTTTGGCTTCCTGTCTCTTAATTTGGCATATGTGGGTGGTTAGGATGAAACTCTTAGTGTTTGTAGGATGGAAAGATATATATAAGGAGGCAAGTGGAAATAGGAAGAAGCATGACATTGGTGTCAGGTAAATACCTAGATAATGTCAACTACACATCTAAGTAGAGCTGCCTTTCTTTATTTGGACTGAAAATCATATGGGATAAATTTAATTAGCACAACTGCCTTTGATGTAATGAATGGCATTTTATACCGGAACCATTTCATGCTGCTTTGGAAGCATTGCTGGTGGTCTCTCCTTTTGTTGCTGGTTATGCCTTTGGGTAACTGCAGATACTTGAATTGTGTCCTATCTCAAGCGTATAGCCTTCAGACTTTACAGTAGATTACACATGATGCCACTGGGGGACACTCTCTTAATCCTAGTCATTTATTCAGATACTTAGATTAATTATTACTGAGATCTCTATGCTTGAGTAGAGTCTGTTTATTTGAATTACAAATGCCCGTGGAAATGAGCTAAAGAACAGAACTCTCTTTCTGTATTGACTATATATGCCTACAGAGTGGACTGTGTAGGACTAGAGTACCAGTAAATATCACTGCCCAATCTTTAAATGATTTGCCAAGGTGAATAGGTTCTCTGCTTAAAAGCAGCTTAATGGATATGCTTTCAAAGTGGTGCAAACATACATATCTCGTGAATTTTAAAATGCAGCCTAATGGATCCATTTGTGTAAAATTGTATCTATTTTTTTTCATTTAAAAAGTGTGAAGGAGGGGAAAAGGGAAAGAGGAAGAAGAGATCTTCTACTGGCTCTGTCATTTAGTATTTCCTGAGAGCTAAGATAAAGCCTAAACTGCAACTAAAGTTCTGGAGAATTAGTGGCCTGTTAATGTCTTATGTGGCAAGTATTGCTAGTCCTTGTCTCTGAAAGATGCGACTCAAATCAGCAAGTCATCAGAAAGAGAAAGGGAGTGGTGGGAGAACAAGAATGTGTAATTTAATGAGGTTAAAAATAGCCTGTTCCCACCTTTATTTTTTGTGTGGGGAGAGAGGGCTGTCTTACAAGTCTCCAGGGAAGTGAAGAATTTGGGCCAGGAACCAAGACACAGGCTTTCTTTTAGTTGTGTAATTTGCTTTCTGTTACAGTGCAGCTTAGCTGTTCTGTGCCTTTGGTTCCTCTGTCAAATCAAAGTGAGGGGAATAATGATCTAAGAACTTAATGATTTTGTAGATTAAATGCAGATGATATTTGAAGTGATCTGACCTCTTTTGAAAATAGTATTTCTATTGTGCTTTTATTTTAAATGCCATATTGTTTAGCATCTCTTCTGACAACAAACTAGAGTGTCATAAGCTCCTCATTGTCCTGAGACTAAATAAATGGAGGAAAAACTAACCTTATAAGATGACACTATGAACTTCGGATTTTTTTTTATCTGTTGTTGTGACAGCTGTCTTTAGGTACCAGTGGGGCAGAAGAGTTTGAAGTTTGTACAACTGTTGTGGTTCCCAAAGTCTTCTGGTAGTTCCTTCACCGGTTGTCTCCATTGACAGCAGTAGATGATGCTTTAAAAAGCAGGACTGGGTGGAGGAATAATCCTGCAACTAATAGTGTCTGGACTTAAATGTGGTTCCTAGCTTTGCTGGAGACATGAACAGGTCACTTGCTATGTCTAAATCTATTTTCTCCATCTCTAAAAGGGAATAACAATATTTCTTGCCCATCTTGTCCAAAAATAATTCAGATTCTTTAGGAAAAGGATTGTCTTATCCTGTGCATGTGCCATTGCCCAGAACAGGAGGATCTTGTTATCATTTGGAGTTGTGGATGTTTTTAAGTCATGAGAACAAACTGAAAAATATAAAAAAGATGAATATTGTTTGTTCTTTTCCAACCCATTATGGCTTCGTTAAAATCTTTCACAGAGTGACTAATGCTCTTAATGGAGCATTCTTTTTGGAGCATTAAAGCATTCTTTTTTTTATATGTGAGATTGGTTGTACCAGCTTAGTGGAGTTTGCTCAACATTATCCCTAAGATGCTGGTTTTTTTTTTTGCTTAAAATTTAGAATATTTCAGTTTTTGGTCTGTAAGTTCAAGACAGATGCAAGCATCAGACAAGCTTTTTCTTCTTCCACCCCCTTGTTCTCTGAAAAACGCAGTCAAAACACTTCAGTTGCTTCTGAGAATGGAAACTGAGAGAATGCCAATGGTTTAAAAATTATATATAAAAATTGTGGCAACCTTTTGTGACAACAGCTCTTCATTTGGATTGGAGTGTGAAATTTGGCAAGGGGATTGAATTTGTTTCAGGAGTGTGAGTAAAGGAAATGAGTGGGACTCAGAAGAAAAGGTTGCTAAAAGGTTGAAGGTTACACTCTACTACAGAACTGTGGGGTTTTATTTTGTGGCACAATGTGGGATTTCTATCTTCTTAATATTTAATTCTAGAAAATTACTTGTAAGCAACTACATCAGAAGTATACACAAACTATATAATGCAGAGTATTGCAACTTTAGAAAGTTTTGGTCTTAAGAGTTCTCAATTTCATAAACATCTCTGATATATCTCACTGGTTTTTATCGCATCTTTTGGAAAAAGCTAAATAATAACTTCTGCTTCTATATTAAAACAAATGTCTAATGTTTTTGTAGTTCATAACTTTATATTGCATTTTTCTTCAGGTCACTGAACTTCAGCTTTATATTTTTAATCAGATCTCTTCTTGATTTGTCTATGCAACAGAAATCAGTTCTTTTAAATTTAACTCTGCTTTCTGGAATATGTCAGCTTTTTCTTATTTCAGATTGGCCACCCAAAATGAGACCATCAACCTGTTTCTCAGCCTGCTATCTGTAAAATGGGGATGCTGCCGCTAGCTCCCTGTGTAGCGTTAGCACGGAAAGAAATACTGTTTTTGAAGCACTGTGATGTTTTAATAATGAACATACCAGAGAATACATGTTTAGTAACAGTAAATATCTTTTAAAACAGTTTGAACTGTTTGAAACAGGCAGGCCTCCAGCCATGAACTAAGCAATGAAGAAAGCAAATATTTAACAGCCTCTCATTAGTTGTCTGCCATCTATTCTTTTGCTCTAAATGAACAGGAAAAATAAGCTAAGTAATTAGCATGATGTGTATAAAATTTAGTTGTATTTTTCTGTACTGCAAAATCAACATTCAGTAATACTACTTCAATATATTTTTTATGTACCTCTCTAAAGTGATTAAAATTCCAAAGATACTCCATATCAATTATATTGTTTCTTAACCTGAATTACAGATATATTGGTTTTTTTAATGTTAAAGGCTTTTCTTCCTCAATGTAATTCTAGGTAACAGTGCATTTAAGTCACCCGATGAATTCAAAGTCTCCCTTCCTCTTCGCACAAACTACTTATATGGGAAGGTCAAGAAGACTCTGCCAGAGCTGTATGCTTTTACCGTATGCTTGTGGTTGAGATCGAGTGCTTCTCCTGGAATTGGCACTCCATTCTCTTATGCTGTTCCTGGGCAGGCTAATGAAATTGTCCTCATAGAATGGGGAAATAATCCAATTGAACTTCTAATTAATGATAAGGTGAGAATTGGCTAACTGTTCTTTATTGTCTACATTAATAGAATAAGGCCCGAACCCTTGGTACCTCGCTAGTAACTCTTTCATTCTACCTGAGAGAAGCCAGCTTTGGGGCCTTTGAGATGGTAGTGTCTACTTGTCTGTTGTTGTCCATCTGTCCGTTGCAAGTTCATAAAAGTTCTCTAAACAAGGTCAAAGGGTACATATATTTGTGTGTTGAGACAATGCAGCATGACATCTAGGTGTGCACACACTTAGGCTTCTCCTCTGAGTGTACAAGCAGATCTTGGCTTCTTGTTTGTTTTATGAAACAGAAGCAGTATTTGAAGCCACACTATTGCAAAACCTGTGAGATCTAGGCCAGTTGCAGTATTTCTATCTTTCTAATCCTAGAAGTTTAGATATGTTAAAATGAATTTGGCAGAAGAGAGAGAGCAAAAAGCATGTAATTGTGGCTGGTTTTGTTATGTTTAAGTGACTGAACATCAGGTTAAATACAATTTTTTCGGACTGTAGATACAAAAAGCAACAATTGTCTCACACTACTTCATACCACTGATGGTTTCTGACAAGCTTCAGAATGAGGCTTGAGGAAAACAAGACCCGTTGAAACTTGGCATTAAACCAGATTATAAATACTTCCTTTCTCCCCACCTTCACTTTAGGCTAGCTATGAAATGTAAATAGCTGATAGTAGCTAAGTGACTTGATTTGAATCAATGTGAGCAAAACTAGATTCTTAACTTGGCCAGGCTGCAATGTAGCATAATTTGCCTTCACCCACCATCCCTTGTTTTCTTTGGCCTGTTAGGTTTCCTAGTAACTCACTGCTCTCTGAGGGATCAGATGCTTACAGATCTACAATGCAACTCAGGTGGTTCAGTCATGTGGCTAGTTAAGGACTCTTAAAAGTCCTATCATCCTCCCAAATAAATAAAAGTGAAAAGCCGATTATTTTTAATGGTTTGTGGAAGAGAAGGAAACTTGAGTCTGCTTATCCTTAGAAATAACTTTTTCTGTTCAATGTTATGTCAGTACTACTAATGTTCTGTGAAGCTTTTCTTTCTCCCGCATCACAGCTGTTCCGTAGCCCGCTGCATTTGTGTCTTTATGTTGACTTGAGTAAGTTTTCAGATCAAATTAATGAAGGAGTATAATTCCTCCTTATTTGGAGCCCTACATAACAGTTCCCACAAGTTTTACTGGAAACAGGCAGATCCATTTGTCAGAGTTGTTACTGCAAATGGTGCAGGCAAACCCCAGATTTTAAGAGAAACTTAACGTGAGTGCTGGATGGAAAGTTAGGACTAAGCACTGAGATTTACACAACAAATGCCACACATTAATGTGCAGGATCAGTGGACTGATAGCAGCTTAGACTCTGGTACTTGTGTCACTTGATTCTAGATGAAACAAAGGCTCACATCTAGAATAAAAAGCATGGATGTATTCCTTAATATAGGAGAGCTGGGACAAAGTAGAAAGATGTGGACTAACTTCTGCCTCTGAAGTTTTTTGCTTCTGAGGACAGAGTACATCCTGTCCCTTTTTAAATGTTGTGCTTGAACTGGTACACTTGGTTTGCAACAGGTGTTATTTTTTGGTTTTTGTAGGTTGCCCAGCTCCCTCTCTTCATTAGTGATGGAAAATGGCATCATGTCTGTATAACATGGACAACCAGAGATGGAATGTGGGAGGCTTTTCAGGATGGAGAGAAGCTTGGCACTGGGGAGAATCTTGCTCCTTGGCACCCAATTAAACCTGGAGGTGTCTTGATCCTGGGTCAGGAACAGGTGAGTAAATGACAGGGTTTAAAAAAAATAAAATCAAAAGTCCCAAAATGAACAGCAGCTGTGAGAAAATTTCTCTTTGTTACACACTTGGTCCTATTGTACACACAGTGTCAGAAAGATTAAAACAGAGCAACAAATACTTAGTGCAATCACACATTGGTATATTTTGTTTCATTTATTAAATGTTTAGAATATTCATGTTGCAGCTATTCCTATTCCCACTCTTAATACTACAGTGTGCAACTTCGTCAGTGATCCGAATAATGCCTTAATTTAAATCTTTTGAGCTAGATTGCTGGTAACTAGCCATGTGGCCGCTGAACAGAAAAGGACAGAATTGGCCAGCACTGTTGTATGAGCAGTCAAAAAGGAGCTTGCTGAAAGCAGACCAAGTATAATTGCTTTGATTTGTTTTAATTTTTTTTTTAGTTGAAGCCAAATTGACTGTCCCCCTTAGCAGTTTACTGGTTTTTTCCCCCTTCCTTTCCTCTTTATCCCAAGAATAATAAGAATGTTAGTCCTCGAGCCCTGGAATAGACCAAGGAAAGTGTGTGTATGGGGGTGAGGGGACCAACAACTATGACACTGGAGTGCTTGTGGGTATATCAGGATCTTTTATAATTTGGCCTGCTATGGAGAACTCCCTGCAGACTGAATTCTGCAGCTTTTCAGGTATGTAACACATTTTTAGAATAGTGGAGTCTGTCACTCATTCAGAATCTGATGTCTATTTTAAAGATGAGTCTGAAGTCAAAGGGACGAACTCTAAATCAGACATTTGGTTTCTCATTAAAGATTGGGTAAATGACTCTTAATGCAAATGCTAATAAATTTTGAGTATTAGTACTGCCAACAGAAAGCATTCATGAAGTTAAGGATAAGTCCTTTTTGAATATTGAAAAAAAAAAAAAAAAAAGGATTTTGAATCATGCCCTTCTAGTTAAAAAAAAAAAAGCATTTTGAATCTTGCTCTTCTAGTTAACATGTCATTAAGCTATTGCTTATGAATTGTGTGGCTCTCATCTTCGCATTTTTTCTCTACCTGTTCTTTGTATGATTATACATATACAAAACAAAAAAAAAACCTGTAATGAGTAGCAGGAAATAGCCTTTCTCCAGGATTCCCAGGTTCACAATGGGGCAATGAAAAATAAGTTTTGTCCTGATACTGATTTTAGTAGATACTTATCCATGACAAAAACGACAGAATGGTAAATTCGGAATCCTAATACATTCTGCATAGCAGATGCTCCAGCTCACTATTAAGTAGCTGGCAGCTTTTCTGTAACTCTCATGCCATTTGCCTGTACTATGCTTGGTTCTATCCTATGCTATCAGTTTCACGTTAGTCTGATCACATAAAATGTGTGATTTCTGTCCTTGAGTAGTGGATAGAGCAAGCAAACACTTTTAGGCTTATGCAGTAGCAGTTTGAGTTAGTCATTTGGTACAACCAGAAGCAGCCTATGTATTTAGGTCCAAAGATCGCATCTTATAGGCCCCGCAGACAATTGGTCAAGGGCTACAGTTACAGTTTACTCCAAAAGCTTTATGGCTATAGATTAATCTTACACATCTATGCAGTTCTTGCTAAAGTTGTCCTGTGCCAAGCTTGTAAAATGGCTCCTAAATTAGCCTCAGTATTTAAGGCTGCCTTCCTGCTCTACTGCTTGGGGACAGGGTTAGTTATGTATAGCCTTTGTGTGATGGTATACAGTCACTACTGTTTGCTTTGAATTGTTTTAACACATTTCAGATTGGAGCTTTTAAGTGTTCCGTAGAACATCTTGTTCAAAGTAGCCCTTCTAGAAACTTGAAGTTGTTTGTCTCTGTGACCTAGCTCTGCACTTCCTTCTAGCAGTGTGGCTGGGGGGAGGGTCTTCAAGTTTGAAGAAGAAAATGCTGAAATAACCTTCTCATCTAATCCTAACTCTTGTGTGCCTAAAGGACACGGTAGGAGGAAGATTTGATGCAACTCAAGCCTTCGTTGGGGAGATGAGCCAGTTCAATATATGGGACAGGGTCTTAAAAGCTGAAGACATCATGAATATTGCTAACTGCTCTACCAACATGCCTGGCAACATCATACCCTGGGTTGATAACAACGTTGATGTGTTTGGAGGTGCTACTAAATGGCCTGTGGAGACATGTGAAGAGCGTCTGCTAGATTTATAGCTGCAGTTGTTTCCTGTTCAAGTGCCCCCTTTAGTAGGACAATCTTCTGTGCAGTCTAAAGCACTTATTTTTTTCTCTCTGCCCTTCCCCAATCTTAAGTCCTCAAAAGAATAAAAAAATTGAGTAAACTGCCCCTAAGGGCAGACGGCTGCTAGTTGGGGGCATTGAGCCTGACAATGAAAGAAGCGCTTCTTAGCTAGAGCGCCCTTGCTTATGGCCTGATCCAAAAATATGCTTTGGCCTGCAGCAGCCTTTTGTAGGCCCGAGTTTAGTACATCAGTTCTTCTGGCATGGACGGGGAACAGCTCTGCACATGTTCACTATAGTACTCCTTTTGATAATGTGCAGTGCTGACAAAGCGCTAAGATTAAGTCCTCAAAAGAATAAAAAAATTGAGTAAACTGCCTCAGTGCAAAGACAGCTGCTAGTTTGGGGCATTGAGCCTGACAATGAAAGAAGCGCTTCTTAGCTAGAGCAGCCCTTGCTTATGGCCTGATCCAAAAATATGCTTTGGCCTGCAGCAGCCTTTTGGTTAGGCCCGAGTTTAGTACATCAGTTCTTCTGGCATGGACGGGGAACAGCTGTGCACATGTTCACTATAGTACTCCTTTTGATAATGTGCAGTGCTGACAAAGCGCTAAGATTAACAGGCTAAATGTGAATCCTTACTTCCAGTCTATTGTCTCCCCTTTGAATTGAAGCCATTCTTTTTTAGCCCTTTTTAAATAAATCACTTAATCCTTACACTGCAGTGGTTATGGTGCAACTATGGGTAGAGCAGAACAGCCACTGTCTGAGTGCAAGGGTGTTGCTTTTAATTTGCAGATTAGAAAGCCTTATTTTATGATAAGGAGGCAATGTATTTGAAACATGCTATTCTAGTGCAATTTGAAGAACGAGCTGTGTAATCAGCATAGCTCCATTGAAATAGAGATGCTTCAGGTAAGGTTCTGTCCCAAAGCCTGTCTTTTCGCTAGCCAGGATCCCAGCGTAGATGAATGGATGACAGATTGTATTTGTATTTTCTGTAGGCTGAATGTACTGAATTTGTAGTGACCTGGCTTGTAAACTTTTCTCTATTGTTTCTCTAGCTTTAGTTGATGTCTTTATTTTTTTAAATATACAAGCTGTGATTAAGTGAATTTCCATTTTGTTTTGCTTTGAAAGGCCTTTTTATGAGCAAGTGCCAAAGTTCAGTTTCTGCTTGCTGAGAATTGCTATATATTTTTCCAGCATAAGTCTTCTGCACTGTTTTCTATGTTATTATAATGGTCCTATGTAATATGAAAATGTGCTGTTTTTTCAACTCTTGTTGACTGTCTCTTCTGTAAGCACTGGGCTGACTACTATATTTTTTTATCATTTTCTCTCAATATTTTGCAAACAATGCTGCTGTTTCCTTGGCATTGATGTGACTACTTGGTTTGTGGCTCGCAGATAGCAAATGCACTGTACTGGGAAAGAGTTAATACTTTTGTTATTTAAAAGAAAAAGGATTTAAAAGGGGGGAGGGGGAATTTATAAAGCTAAATATCATATTTTATTTTTCATATGTTTGAATTGTAAGAATAATATAGTGACAGTCCCATTTGTAGGATAAAGTTACATATTTCCATTAATATGTAGTATGCTGTTCTTAAAAGAAAATTCTTATAATGAACTTTTAATTAAAATGCACTGTAAAATGAGTCTTTTAATTCCTTTATAGTCACACAAGACACTGAATGTTCTCTTTCATAGCTGCTATGAGTTCAGCTACTGTTTGTCTAGATGGATAGAAGTACAGTCCTGTAAGAAGTTACCTTTATTCCCTAAATGTCTTAAATCGTAATCTTCAACCAAAAGGAGCTTAGGGGTGTGTGTGTAACCTTAACTGGGGAGAGGGTCTCCACATTTGGATGTGGAGGGGTGTCTGAAGCTCAGGCTGAGACTTGTCTCCTACCACTGTGATCTCATAGGCACTAGTCTATGCCATGGCCTGGGATGCAGTGGTTTCATTGGAGTGGGATGGGACACAGAACATATGTTCATATTTATTTTTACAGTCGTGAGAAACTGAAACTATGACCCCCTTCTGGGTGAAAGTACTAGTTGTAGGTAACCTCAGTGTCCCAAACCAGTGTGAAAAGAACTGTTCAACGATGAGATGACTTGCTGAAATGTGATAGCAGAGGCACTATACCTGTGCAAGTTGTAAAGTGCAGTGTCCATGGAGTCTGACAGTAAACAAAACACTCTGCTTGGTAAACTAAGAAGTTGACAGCACTCTGTAAGAGAACAACCAGCTGGGGCAGAGATGTTTACTCAGCTCTGACATCCTTCTCTGGCCATGGAGAGTTTGAGGTTTCTATGAAACATTACACAACTCAATTTCAAGTATTCTCATTGGCCTTAAAACAGACACCCTCTCCCCCCTGACCCACAACAGTACTTTCCCTGCCCTAAGAAAAAACCAAAACAACCAAAAAACTCTCAATATCCAAAGAATCTGTGTCCTAAGATCAGGGAGAGTGCAAAATTCTCATCTCATATGGGCTGGAGACCAGCAGAGGCATCAACCCTCCAGTCAATCCACCTTTCTTTATCAGCTTTTTTCAAAATAAACTGAAGGAACTGAAGTCTGGGGTTATCTGTGCTGAGGTCTGCCCTTTCAGGAAATAGCTTTTGCGTATTTCACTCTGTTCCTGAAAGGTGCAATGGTGAAATTGTCTTGGGCGCTTTCCTGTATGGCTAGGAGCCTGCGTGTGGATGTGGTCTATCATTTTAAACACTAATTCAGTGTTTGGATTCATTTGTTGGTTGAGGGAAGCAGAGGGTCTTCACACTTCAATTGGCTGTGTTGATCTTTATTTAGAGAGTTATTTAAACACACTCCCAATCTTAGGTCTATCTTTAGCACTGACTTTAACAATAAGCACCTGAGTAGGAAGCCCCACCTGCATGAGGAGGTGTTTGTGGGTGGGAGCTGTAATTGCTTTGTTTTGTGCACAGGGAGAACATCTGGTCTGGGGGCTGTTGTTAGGCTGGTGAGTGGCTGGCTGCTTTCTTCCTCAGGTTCTGCTCAGGTTGCGTGAAGGAGGAGTGTAACAGAACTACTCTTCAGGGTGGAAATCAATACTAAAAGTTGGCTTTTTTCTAAGGTATGTCAAGGTGCTCAGGTGAGTTTGGGAACATTCACCCTGTTGCAACCTGACCTAGAGCTGGGATGGATATTTTCTTCTAAAGATAAACAACTTAGTTCTCTGTTTTTTAGTTGGTTTATTTTTTACTGATTACATAACCAAGATGGTAGGATTTGGGGGGAGGGGTTTGGGTTGGGTTTTTTTTGACACCATCTCTTTAGTAAAAGCCAAAGCTAAGGAGTATATATTCCTTTGAAAAGGCGGTGGTTTTTTTATTTTTTACTATAGTCTTCTTTCTTTTGTGCAATAGTACCTTTTTCATTAAAAAGAAAAGATGTGTATTCATTTTTGTACCTTTATCTTGTGATGAAAAGCTAGGGCTGTTACTCTGCTGCTCCACATTCTGGGAGTCACATGTTTTATGTGCATATATAAGCAGATGGCAAAACAGGAGTAAATATTACCATATTCCAGCATCTATACTGTTTATGGAGTATGGAAGTGACAAGACAACCTTCAGTTCCCAAACTGCTCTGAATACACAGAAGTACTAGCTTATGGAAAGCTGACTGACAGCTACAGCACTTGGAACATGCAGTAATGCAGATTTCTAGAAAATCTGTTTCTGTTTAAAAACAGACAGAGCTAGGACTCCCAAAAGCGGTATCAGTGATCCTAACAAGTCAACCTCTTGGGAGCTGTGAACTGGCTAGGTCTCCAGCTGACTTCTTTAGTGTGAATGCTGTTCAGTCAGTTGCTGTATTGCACTGTTCGGGTTGTATATACTTGATGGCATTCAATGGCTGTTAAGCAATAAAGGATCTAGCATTTGGTATGTTTAAATCCAGGTTATATTTCTTCAGAGACAGTTAAGTTTTTTTGACTAACCAGCTGGCCATTAGAATCTGTAGATCATATCATACGTTTGGTATTTGCTTGAAGGCTTTAGCTACACACTTGCTGTCTTAGCTAGAGCCGAATGTTGCTGAGGGGAGGAGCACCACCTCTGTGCCTCTGGGATCCCATTGTGAATGGGAGACTGATTCCCTCGTGCAGGTGTGTTTCTGCTGGGCAGCACTTGCGCATTAAACTGTTAGTTTAGGTCTCAGAAATGCAAGGAAGACCACAGAAATTCTTGCCAGTAAAACTCTACCCTCACTTTTACTTACACTTCCCCAGAATTCGAATACGTGAGACTGCCAGGGAGAAGCTGATTCTGTTTTGCTCCAGGGACCTGGTTTCCCTCAGGCCTTTCCTAAAGGCAAAATGCAGGCCAGTAGCAAAGCTGGTGCTTTGTATTAGGTGTTTAAAGCTGGCACTCTCTCAATTGGGGTAACTGTTTGTGCTGGTTTTGGGTAGGATAGAGTTCTTCATAGTAGCTAGTATGGGGCTATGTTTTGGATTTGTGCTGGAAACAGTGCTGGTAATACAGGGATGTTTTCGTTACTGCTGAGCAGTGCTGACACAGAGTCAAGGCCTTTTCTGCTTCTCACCCCACCCCACCAGCGAGTGCTGGGGGTGCACAAGAAGTTGGGAGGGGACACAGCCGGGACAGCTGACCCCAACTGACCACAGGGATATCCCACACCATACGACATCATGCTCAGCATATAAAGCCGGGGGAAGGAGGAGGAAGGGGGGGATGTTTGGAGTGATGGCGTTTGTCTTCCCA